AAAAAAATTATTATCTTATTCCAATGATAGAAAATTGTTGCCAACAATATTTTAGGACAAGTCACCAAGTTTGGTCATTCTAGCCCTAGCCATTCAGACGCTATGTGACATCAAAGTTGGCGCGGGCACTTTTAGCCCCCCCCCGGTCTAGATAGGGTTAAATGTCTAAATGCTCCGAATTCTATCATGGACTGAAAAACACAATCTCGTCCTATTAAACACACTTTACAAGGAAGATTATTGATTGTTATATAGCAATAGATGCCAATTACTTTGTACAATTGTTGTACGATGGAGTTTATATGTTTACTGAAGAAGACTAGTGTGACTGGTCGAAAGCTCTAGGTAAGATAACTTTTTTGTGTTGGATCAAAAGTTCTAACTTTAAACATGTAACTACCAACACAGATGAACTTCCAGGTTTACTTGTTTATGTTTGCTGACCATGTTCATACATGTACCTTCATTTTGAACGTTTTGAATTGCATGTTGTTTTTTACTTTCTCTCTCGAAACAGACGTACATTTCCCAGGCTGGTTACGTGCACGGTGACCTGGCCGCCCGGAACGTGCTGGTAGGAGAGAACCTGGTGGTGAAGATCGCAGACTTCGGCCTGACGACAGACATCTACGAGCGAGGCTACCAGCGGCAGGACGCGGAGCAGAAGATCCCCCTGAGGTGGATGGCACCGGAAAGGCTGATGCGAGAGGGCCGGTACACCAGCAAGAGTGACGTGTGAGTGCAGCTACTGCTTTGGTTTTGTCCTTCCCATGTACATTTTAGGTTCCTACTGTAAATATATAATCTGGCAACAAAACTATGCAAAAAATTGCCTCAGTATAAATTCTGATACATGATAACCATAAAGCCATTACAGAAACTGCATTGAATCGTTACAAGGATAATCTTCCTTGCATGTTATCAATTGCAGAAGAAGAAGTATTGCTTTGTGATTTTAGAATCGAATATATTTGCACAGATCTAGATACTCTTGATATGTTGAAAGCATTTTGGGACCAGCAGTGGGTATTTGAAGCAGGAACATGTGCCTCAACGCTGCACGTTATCTCCTGTCAGCTTTAGTAGAATTATTACATACTTTAAATTTTGCCAGTGGAAATCCACATGATAAAGGTAGATCCCTATCATTACAGTACTGTTAATCTAGGTATACAGCGTTGCTGCCCATGTTGCTTTGCATAATCCATGATCAAATCTAATTTTCACGCCCAGTTGGTCCTTCGGAGTGGTGCTGTACGAGATCGCTACGCTAGGGAACGTGCCCTATCCGGGTCGGGAACGCACGCTCCTGGAGGAACTCCGCACAGGGTACCGCGAACCACGCCCGCCTGGCCTCAAACAAGAGCTGTACGTAAAAGAAAATTCTTTTTGATTTCATTTGTTTTTTCACTGATAATTCAAAACGCATGGTGGTTTCTGGAGGCCCTCTCCACATATAACAGTGCCAGTAATGAGATGTGAAAAAAGACAAAAACCAATTTAAAGACAAATGGTAAAACATAAAGCTCATGGACACAAATTACATGTTTGATTAAGATAGAGATCATCGTGTTCCTTACTAGAAGGGGAGTGCACTAAATTATGTTGAATAGTTACTCTTTTTTTCATGCATAATGGCGGTGACAAAAACCCTGTGTTGTTGGTCTACTCCATTTAAAAACTTGTAACATTGCCAATCACCGATGACTTACACAATAAAACCAATAGGTACGACATGATGCTGCGGTGCTGGCAATGGGAGGAAGACGATCGCCCAGAGTTTGAGGATCTTTACGAGGAGCTGGACGCCGTGGTAGAATCCATGGCCGAGGGGTATGTAAAACCCGGTTCCGGCTCCCCAGTGGGGGGTCCGAATGAGGCAGCAGAAGCTCTTGAAACCTCGTACGACGTCCCAAAGTCGGGCCGGATGGGGACGCAACTCCACGTCACTGCAGACGTCTACATCAGCGAAGATCGTGATGAAGTCGACTCACTCGCGTCCTCAAGTGCAGAATCCAGTTCCGTACTAATAGAGAAGGATGTGGACTCTGATAATGATGTCCAAGTTAACAACTGCAAGGCCACGCAGCAAGACACCCTCTTAGAAAGTGAAGATCACGACCATTAACAAGTGGAATCCTCCCAGGCCACCGGGTGCAGTAATTTTGGATACCAATATCGAACAGTTCCGCCGACTCCGAGGTGCCAGTGACAACGAATGCACAGAAAAATGAAACCCCGACTATAATTGAGCACAACTTCGGTGATGCTGAAGAAGAAAAGCTGAAGCCTCCAACAACAAGTACATATGGTAGTAGGAACTGTTACTGTCCTTTAGGTTGTGGCAGGGCGGGGGCCAATGTACTAGAGAGCTTTACACGCTTTATCTAGTAGTAGAGTTTGAATTTTCCTATGAGTATTGTTTGGCTTTGAATTTTCCTATGAATATTGGTTACCTGGATGCCCAACCTTCATCAAAATATCTGCAGGTTGTATTACTGTTTTGTGAATGCATTTATGAACACGGAAAATGAATCTCTCATTTATATGTGACTCACTTGTGGGGTCGTGTGGCGCAGTCGGTAGCGCGTTCGGCTCACACCCGAGAGGTTGCGGGTTCGAATCCTGCCCATGTCACCGATCTTGTGCCCTTGGGAAAGGCACTTTACACAACTTTCCTCACTTCACTCAGGTGTAAATGAGTACCTAGCTTCGGTTAGGGACGTCCCTCGGATAGGACGTTAAATGGAGGTCCCGTGTTTGGGAGAGCCACACCCCACGCACGTAAAAGAACCCACCGCACTTATCGAAAAGAGTAGGGGACCTTCCCGGTGTGAGTGGTTCAAACCTTACTGTCTGGTCTCAGGTTTGACATCTTGTAAAAGTGATAGTCACCTGTTATGTCAATCCTTCCACAAATGTGGTAAATCGTCATAAATAAATAAATATATTGCCAACATATTTTGAATGTTGAATACTATCATTAGTTGATGTACAGCTTGCTGCACATGTTTTCTTCTGGATAATTTCTTTGTGAAAGAAATACTAAACAGAGCAAAATAAACAGAGCAGCAGTATAGTTTGTTAGGAGAGACGTGAAGGTTAACATTAGGAATGTGCTTTGGAATTGTTACCTTTCAAGTCACCATTTAATACATACATATCTATATATATATATATATAATGTATTATCCTAGAAGCTGCAATGGTATATGTATCAAATAGGTGTCGCTTTTGCATTGACGCTGTTACTTAGCAACATCATTGGTTAGTCACATCTTAAGAACCCAAAGAGACAGAAGAAGGGGAGCAGATGTTATCATCGTTAACCCTAAACAGTACACCTGGGGTCCTGTTTCCCCCATTTATAAAAAAAATTATATCTGATTTTCTTTTGGGGTCAGCTTTCGATCGTAATGTATACACTGGCGTTCTTATACATAACCTTATTTCCGTTTTCATATGTTTTTATGCACTTATCGAATGGCTACCGAATTTTCATAGAATGGTGTAGTAATAGAATTAAATTTAAACAACTTTGGTGTAATTATGACGTCAAATGACGTCAGAGCTAATTATATGGTCCGCCATATTGAATTTTGACCAATGACGTCATCAAATTAGCATATTCTATTAATATTATATGATTTAACTTATCTTTAATTCTGTAAGATGTTATTAATGTTAGAAAGGAAGTGTAATTTGATATACAACCCAGAAATTTTTTATGTTTAAACCAAAATTACTGATATTTACACATTTTTAAAAGCATACAATGTGACATTCTATCCCTCAAGACAATACATGTACCAATACTCTTTGCTTCCTTGCGCACCTTTAGAAAGGTTCCTGTACTTGTGCTTGTCCAGGGTTTGTTTGTTTGTTTATTGAGATCTCCATTAGTATGGAAACTCCATACTATTCTTCCTGGAGCCCAGCAACATAAAATGAAATAACAATATAATAATAATAATAATAATTGCTTTTAGCAATAAGGCCACAACAAGTAAATTTTATGGATGACATCCGCGCGCGCATTAATTTTCGCCTGATTTTGGAAAAAAAAAATTTTGTTGCCTTCTGACAGTGGTCAACATGCCGAAAATGGGCAAATGTGTCTGTTGCCATGCCGAAAGGTGGATGGCAGATAACTAGGAAGAGAGGAGATAAGAAAAGGCTCTAAAATTTAATGTTAGTTTCTTACTTTGATGCAGTGATATGTGATGCTGGCTGTGCATATGTGATGTTCCTACTGAATCAAAATTATAGTACAATGATTGAGTCAAAATTTTACATTGTAGGAACCTTGTTTTTTTCGGCCCGCCTTGTTTTTTTTTCGCCCGCTCGCATTAGATCTGGAGTCTGCGGAGGATGTCATCCATAAAATTTACGTGCTGTGGCCTAATAATAAATAAAACATAACAGTTACAAATCATACTGAAACTAGAGTTCCACGATCTCATACCTTCGCCAAATGATGTTAATCTTTATGGCTGACAAATTATAGATTATTCCGACTGATTGTGCAAATAGGATCCTCCTTTCAATGGATTATATCACTTTATCATATTGTCAACCTTAAGACAGTCTTATATTAGCAAACAGTGCCATTTTAATATTTCCTCATAAATTATGCAAATAAAGTCCAGATTTGAATACCTTATGTTTAATGATGTTTGCCTTCACTGAACTTTCAAATACCACAAGTATGACATTCCAGGCAGTTATCATTACAGAATTATAACATTTTCTAATTAATTATGCAAATTAAGTCCTCATTTCAATAATCAATATCTGCATGTGTTTCTCTCCTACTCAATAACCAATGTCATAAGCTTCAATAGTCCTATCATGAAATGCAGCTGATTTATAGAATTTCCCCATAAATTATGCAAATCACATCCATATTTGCCTAATTGTCACGTAATTATATCAAGCATCGCATAAGCTACCTACATACCAAACATCACGACGATCCGTCAACCGGTTCTTGAGTTATCCTCTTTTGAATATTTTAAAACAGATGCCCTGCAGTTCCAGATGCCCTGCAGTTCCAGAGCAAGCCGCTAGGGGGCCCAAACTTACGTGACTTCTTTCCCAGCACAAGAGCTACCTACCAACCAAATTTCGTCACCCTAGCATGTCTGGATCGTGAGATATCAAAACCGCAAGTTCAGCTGCAGTACCATAACAACCCGCTAGGGGGCCCAAAATCTAATCATTTTGAGCTCTCATCAAGACCTACCCACCTACCAAGTATCAAGATAAGCCATCTAAGCTTTCTCGAGTTATGCTTGTTGACAGACAGACAGACAGACAGACACACGGCCAGGAAAACATAACCTTCTCCAATTCTTGGCGAAGGTAATTATAACAAACTTGAAACAGAATCAATCATCACGGTGGTAAAATCTGGGCTGCAAAGTTCCCACATGTCATAGAATCCGAACTGTGTTCGATGGTGTTCGATCTGGGCAATTCGAATCGAACCCGCGTTCTATTTCGGGGTCACCTGCGGTCATTTACTATAAAGCGGCAAAACAAGCCTTTCTGCCTCCGTGCATTGCAACAGATAAAAAACAACACTTTTCTATAGATACAAACAGTTTCCTGGACAATACATGTCCGCTATCATTTTTTTTGTGGACATGTAACATGTAGCGAAGCTACTGTCGTATCCTTGGGTGACCTTGAATACTGTAATGATTCTTTACGCAAGTATGAATAACACAATGCACACTTTCTGGCGATATGACATGTCTCCAAAACTCGTTCAAACCTGGAAACATGGAGAGTCAAACATACCCCATTTACGGCTCAAAATGACCGTAACGGTTGTCCCGAAAATCGTGTTTTAGGGATTTTTGACAAATGGCCTCAATTTTGAATTATGGGTAATTTAGTGAGAAAAATGTCAAAAAATGTCATTTTTTCACCAATATGTCGACAAAAACTAGACTTAAAATCAGAAATTAAAAAATCCCTAAAACACGATTTTTTATCATATTCCTAGTCTGCGAAAAATATAAAAATCGGGGATCTGGGGTAATATACGTAGCCAGGTTTGACGATGTTTGCCTAAAAACGTGACATGACTAGTGCTCAAGAAACCGAAAATAATCGTCTTTCTGAGCGAATTTTAAAAAAATTAGTGATTAAACATAAAAAGCTAACATTTAAAGGATGTTATGACGATAATTTCTATTTAATTTGACGAAATTTACCCCTAAATATTATTTGTTTATTTTCAAATATTTTACGGGTAGTCCAAAACAGGCCAAAATAGCGTCTTGTAACCCGATACCTTTTCGAACGCGCATAGCAATGGGAAAGAATGCCGTAGTGACAGACCGCCGTGCATAGAAACTTCTGACTGCATACATAGCGCTTCTAGTGCTTCTTCCTGCTGAATGTCATACTCCATGTCTCACATGTGCTATATGTAACGTCCGCTCGCCAATGTTGTATAGAACGATGTTTTCTAAACCCCCAAACAAGCCTCCTGGCTTTTCTAAGCTCCACCGAATATCCCCCTCCAGACAGATTGTATCCATTCGCCGCCATAAAGTAGTGCAGGGCAAACAGGACACGTTTGTAGTAACAAGTATTTTAGATATGTAACTAATTTGATAGGTAACACATACTGGTATGAAGATTTTTAATTAAGTCTTGTCGCAGTGGACTATTTTGCGCTTTATCTAGTCACTCATGTGAACCCTCCAGATGTGTGAGCGGATGGATATTATTGGGATACTGCGATCGTCCAGTCTGCAGTCAGTGCAGGGCGGCCATTGTAAGGTAAGGATCACGTTCGCTTGTCTGAGAATTTTTCCTCGAAATCATGCAATTATTAGCATATAATAGTTGTTTTTGAGTGTATTTAGGTTTTGTAGATGTTACTGATGAAGGCCGTCATTTTCGTAAGGGTCACTTTCGGCCTTCAAATCAAGGAACAATTCGTGGTGTGGTAAACGCCTGTACCGGAAAAATAACCGATAGTTTTGACGGAAATTTTCGCTCTCTGTCCTGCTGAACAATGTGGCTGTGATGATTTTGTGGAGTATTTAGTGCGTTCATGAGTCAGTTTCTGTTGCATTTGTTCGTGTTTTTTGTGTTTAATAAACTATATACACACTGTACAGTGAGCACAAACAACCCGTGAAGTACAGCTTCTTCTTTCGTTGAGCAGCCGCCTTGTCCGTTTACTGTTAGGTGCACAGACAATTACATAGAATAGTGTCATCCTTGTGCTTGTGTCGTCGTTATGAACATGGTTAAATACTTAAATACTTGATATGTTAATACCATTTTTATATAAATGTGTTTTTTCATATGTTGTTCAGGTCAACCCGGAGAGAACTGTGACAAGACAAATGGGACAAGGGTCTGATCTGATGATCCTTGAAGTCTTCATCAGGAGAAACACCTTAGCATCCAGAAACACTTGGAAAACAATATCAGGCCTTGATGAAAGCAACATTTAGGTTATTTTATTTAGGTGACAAAATAACAAACACTGACTGAAAATAGCATAACGTTCAGC